ATACATGTAAATTGCACAAGTACTTTCTTGATGAGGACCCTTATCGTTTAGTCTTACTTTAGGAGGAGAGACTCTGATGATGATGACCTTGCATCTATTATGTTAATACGTCATGACTTATTCCAATTTTGACTCTATAAAAATGAAATTAAAAGTCTGTCTTATTACCATAATAATTTTTCATAACCCTGCTTATAAAAGTGAGATAAAAAATACATTACGTTTCTAATATGAGATTTAACATGCTGTTAGAACTAAATGTTCTTAACTCTTTGAACACTATTGTCAACTTTTGGCACCATCTACTAAATGATAAAAATTGGCAAACCTTTTGATCAAAAAATAAAATATCTGAAACTGTCTGTATGTTCCAAATTTAGTGTATATTTTGCAAAAAGTGAAAATATGTGCACTGAATTCCAGTCAGGAAAATATCTGGCACTTCAAAGGTTTAATATAGTCAGATTGCAACAACCCAGCTTAGTTTGATATTTTTAAAATCTGATTTATTTAATCCCACATACTGAACAATATTATTAGCTACCGTACTCTTCACATGTCACCTTTTACAGCTATTTATAAATTTATCGTGCTTAAGACAATAAATCTCTTTCCCAGTGGTATTGTTAATGTTTTTAAATACTGTGGCAAAAATATTAAAAAGCAATTTTTTATCAGTATTGAATTTATTTTTTTATGTATCGTTTTGTTAATGGAAGACAGTAAAGTTTGATAGCTTTTACATGCTAAATGTTAAATTGTATACCAATGTTTTATTGAAATAAAAACATCTATGCGTATTTACATGTTACAGCCATATAAGCGACACACATGAAGCATTAATACCTGGCAGTAGTGTGTTTAGTTAAAGTGTTAATAGTCAGATACATGGGCTTGTTTGCAGTACACTGGAAAGTACCTTGTCATAGTGAGTGAGCCCCCAGCAGTACATGTTGTAGTCCTCCTCAGCGGGGCCCCAACCTAATTATACTCGACATATAGCTGGCATGGCTGAGTGGTTTTCATGGTTTTAGGACTTCTATTTCACACCTCACTACACAGGAGAATTGGATAAACATCTTAACAACCACTATTAGTGTGTTAAAGGCTGCCGACTTGTGTTATTGGTCTAATGGATAACAGGGAAGCAAAGTATCCTGGGAAATAACCCCCCCTCAGTAGTGATAACCCAAGTAATTGGATATGAACTATGCACTCAGGATGATTTTATCAATTGACCAAATATGGACAAGTGGTATGTTATGTTTGTTGATACATTCCTCCAATGTTACTTTGTAGCTCCTCATGTAACATAATACATATTATTACAGCATCTAGTTTATCCTGTCTCCATTTTCACATTTCGCCAAATAAATCAGCTGTCTGAATCCTTTAATTGTAAACATACTGCCCTCAAACTGTATCGCACCTGCATTAATGGTATCCTTTCTTTCTCCCTCCCTTCCTTCCTTCCTCTTAAGTAACATACCCACCCCTATGATAATTAAATGGTCCATTCCTACTGAGTGTGTCAGCTTCAATATTGATTTAAGGGTGAGGAATCTGTCAAGGTGTAGCTGTATAAATCAGCAATCTGCCAGCATCTATTAATGCTCATGTCTCAACATTGATGCTTTCTTCAGTTTAAAACGTGACAGCTTCTGCAAATCTAATATCATCCTGTGGGGATAAATGTAAACAACAAAAACTGTTACTGTAAACCATTACTTTCTCGTGCTTGCATGCATTAGTTCGTCCTCTGCACGTATATTTGTTAATTCCTTCCAAAGGTAGTCTGTTGTTTCTGTTAATCGAGAGAGAGGTATTAGGTAGACCAGTTAATGATTTACTTGTTTGAAGTATGCTAACTGAGGTGTATACTTATAGGATGCAGTGTTTGTCTTTTTTGGAGTACTTGTTAGTACTATAATGTAATTTGATTAAGGTGCGTTTTTGACATGTGCACATATTTCACCATACATAGCTATGACAATGTGTCATCTTAAAATCTGTGGATGTAGATTGTTTTCTAGATTACTATGAGAAAAGCTGTAAAATAATATGCACAAAATGTAATTTTAGCAGTATAGTTCCATAGACCACAATGAAAACTCATTTCATCATTAAAATCTCACTAAAAATGTAAATTTTATATCTTATAATACTTCTTGACATGGAAGTATCTTTTATAAGACAGTATACATCATTTTAGCCTATGTCAACGACAACATTTCCAGAGATACCTTTGCCATAGGAAACAGTTGTAAAACAGACGTGTTATTTTCACTCCATTTTTTGTACATTTATTTTTAAAATGACCCTGTACATTTTATTTCATTTTCTTCATCCTTGTATTAAACAAGAAATGTCACGTATAAAAAAAATAAAGGAAATTACATTATTTTTACTTTTGTGTCGTAATTTACCCTAACCTTTTGAACACCATATTTTCGGGTTAAAATTTTGTGCAACTCTTTGCAATGTTTTTAGGTATTTTTCTGTAATTTCTTTGTTAATTATGAATCATAGGAACATATTTTTCTATTGGCTACCAACAAATCTAAAAAAAAAATTATCCTTCTTTGTTTTGTAAATGTTCACAATAGTTGACTGGCATTCAAAGGAAGGAAGAAAGAAACTTTTCTTTGTCTCATTTAATCCACACAAGTTGAACACAATACTGACTTCAATAGATGTATGGTTAGTTTACATAACATATAACAAACTATTTACAACTATCTATTTAACAAATATAAAAAAAAAAATATTTCGGAAAATGCATATCATCTTATTTGTTCAGTTATTATTATTTTTCTGTTTAATAATACAGAAAATTATGGCGAGTATTATTTCAATAATCATGATATTATATGAGGTTATTACAAGAATACTGTAAGGTATACTCAAAGGCAGTGTAGTGATCATGTGCCATACTGCCCGAGTGCGTACTTTGCAGTAGTCACATGTTAACCTTATTGTTATACAAGTTATCCTGCTTGTAATCGTAATTTAGTAAGACATAAACATCCTGTAATGCCAGAGATAAGTATTTGTGTCTTCGTGATCACCGTTCAGTTACATGATTCTATTTCAGTCATGTTAAATTGTTGCTGTGTCCAATGCAAACAAAGAAATGTGTCTTAATGTAACGTAAATATGATACGTATCTTTCAAATATGCAAGACATTTGAACACATCTGTAACTATAACTAGATGGATGAAATTGCTGAATGTTTTCACTGTCAGTTGTAAAATAATATGTGGTTAATACATAGATAATGCAAAGTATAATGCACAGTGAATGTATACTGTTTTTGTGCATACAATGTGTGTTTATCTTTCTGATTTAACTGATTAAAAAGGCGAAAATTATTGTCAAATTTCACGCTATGAACTTTGTTTTCAAAATTGTCTGTCATCTTTGAAATACAGTGTAATTTTTCCATATTTGGAATTTGCTTTCCAAATAAGGTAGGATATAGCTACCCTGTGTAATGCCTCAGAATGACTTGATAGATGTATGGTAATATCAGGTTATAATGACAACACAAACAAATATTGATATCTGTGGTGGAAAAACATGTTGTGTCTGAACAACTGTAGTAATGCAGGGCAAGCAATCTAATTCTGTCAACCTTTTCACAGTATCAGTTTTAGGATTCCACTATGTTTCGATTTAACACCGTAATCCATTTTTGGCAGTTAAACTTTTACGACATTACCTGCGTAGTTTTGATTAGCCCCGTTTTTTTAACGAGTCATCATGGTGATTGTGATCATTCTGATTACCCCTGTTGTGAACATGGAAAACAATCTTGCCATTATAGAACTATCCATGCATGAAGCGGCACTGTAATGAGACTTTGCATATCACTGGTGAAAGTAAAAAGCAAAGCCGCCTGAGCCGTGATGCAAAATTTATATGTTTGCTCACTGGACCCTTCATCCAAGAGTAATGGGATTGTAGAAGCATACTAAATTGGTGAAGCACAGTGAGATCATAAAGACTGGCTCCTCCTCCCTCACATATAAATCACAGAAATTGGTGCACAAAGTTCCTGTGTGCCTTTTATTCTCCCTACAGAGAAATAATATCCCCAACACAATTTGATGGGTCCTATGAGAGCCATGTCTAAAGAGAAGCACGAGATAAAGCTGAAGCTGATAAATCAGTCCCATTTATAGCTCCTTACTTACAATTTTACTAGACAGCATAAATTGAAGGGGACTCGTCTAAATACAGGGAGGAATTGACCTCCTATGTGTCTAAATTGGGGAGAGAATTCCCTTGCAATTTGAACTCTTTTTAAAGTGATAAATTATTATTAACTCTGTCAGTTGTTTCTCTCTCTCATACATCATTCTTTTGCAGGAAATAATTACTTGCAAAGCATTCTGGGATATTAGGAAATTAATGAAATTTGCAAATTTTTTTTTGTCTGTGATGTAATAAGTAAATTCAAATGCATTGTAAGCCATAAAAATAGATGAATAAAAGAATTAACAAATATATATTTATTTATATATGTTGTGACAGACTCTCTTTATCTGTGCGTAATGCCGGTTTACATCACTGTGTTGTAATCTCACTGCTAATCAGTATTTACTGCTAGTGAAGACTTGGAAGATTATTTTTATGAGCTTTTCAGAGCTGCCTGAACTATGACCCCCATTGTTGCCTGAACTATGACCCCATTGTTGCTTCATCATCATCGCATGTTAAGATAACATTGAAGCGTTTCTGTCTCTTGAATACGTTTTTTTAGACGACTTGAAAACAGAATGATCTAGTTGTTTTTTCTGAACATTGTTCTTTGTTAAACATGTGACAGTTATAATAATGTTATCTATCATACTACACTATTCAGTTTACCTGGCCTGTTATGATAGCAGGTACATTATTCAGTTTACCTGGTCAATTCCCGGTATTTCTTTCCTGCAAGGCATGCGCTTTTTAAACTAACTTTTAATTTGACAGCATTTATTTTTCTTTACTTCAGGCTGAAGAAGAGACTCGTCGTAATCAACTCATGAAGGATATGGCTCAGTTACGCTTGCAGGTAAGCATGTAAATCTATGTCTTATGTCAGATGATAATGAACTTTTGCAGATTCTATCTTTCCCACAACGGTGCATTGTCATGTTTCATAAATGTCTAAAGAATATTCTATTTGCTGTGTTTGTATTGCATGCACTTATTTTAATGACAGAGGTTTGTCTTTGGTCAAAATAAGTCAAATTTTAATGATTCAGTATACAATAAATTCAATTGTGCTTCTAATAGAGCAATTACAGTATTTGGTTCACATCCATCAATCCTAGCCTCTTTGCTTCAAATGTATTTACATTGATATAACTGATTTCATTCAAAGTGTACATGATATCAGCATAGTAATATGAGCCAGTATGATACAATATTTATTAAATCCATAGCCATTTGTCATAAATGTCAATTACAATTTATTTGGAATAATGACAAAGTAAATTGAGTTTCACACACACATTTTGTTTTTGGATCTAATTATATTATCGTGGTTTGCCATATCTTAAAATAAAATATTCTTTAAAATGCTCAGTGAGCTCATACAATGTATTATAACATTATCAATTATAGAATCCAATAATAAAGCCATTACGATGCTGCAGTGGACTGTAAACACGTTAATTATTCACTCGTTTTTAATTTCGCTATTTTGCTGATAATTAAAATTTGCCACCTGAATTAAATCCACATAAAAATGTTGAATAACAGTAGAACTTCTTGTTTTCCTGCCAAGTTCATGAAATTGCTCAACACATCAAAATAGTTAGATTAAATGTCATTTTATGACATATTATCAGTATGTGTTTAATCGGTGATGATATTGCTTATTTTGGTTTGTTTTATGACATGATTGGTGTGTCCAATGATGTGTAACGTACAATGCAGTGTCTCCTGAATGTAAACATGCTATTACAATGAGTCAATCATAAACATGTGCTTAAAGTTGATACAGACCTTTGTTTTACTTTGTAATATCATGCTTAACTTTTATGTCACAAATACCAACTAGTTGCATAATTAAATATCAAAACAATATGCAGATTCAGGGCTTACAGAACACAATGCCCAAATATGGACAATAATATGTTATAATATGGGATTACTTTATTGCATTCCATTGGCCATGAATCTGTATAACATTTTCTGTAACAAAAAATCATTCAATAGTTTTTATGTTCTGTGAAATGTGAAGTTTAAATAAAAGTGTATTAATGAAAGAACTACATTAATCACTTTACTTAATAAATGTAATCTTTTTAAACGTTTGTTTATATTAAATTCATTTATTATGTTGTCTACTGACACACACACATGACTGTTCCAAGGATACAGAGTTTTACGCTTCACACCAGCTGGTGTACTAGTCATGCTTTTGACATTAATCAAGCCAAAATACGTATTTCCATGGATTAAATGCTTAACATGCACTGATGGTATGTCATTATTACAATAATGAACTCCCCAAAGTGCAAGTTTGGATTCAGAGTCTATGTGATAGTATGCTTACTTGTAACCCGGACACAATCTTGAGTAAAATCAATATTTATCTAATATGGTGTTTTGGGATGCTCATTATTGTTACAATACATCTCATCATGCAAGTTAAGTTATTTTCACTCAAATCTATGATGGGGACCAAACATAAATACAATATTTTCACTAAATATTATAATTTTAAATGACCTGTCTTCATCTGTTATATCTATGTACAATACAAGACATCATGCCATATATATTTCAATCTAAATTTTAGTGAACATTTTTCTATAATTTTTTTTTTTATTTCTATAATTTTTCTTTATTTTTGGGACCAACATAAATTCCTATTGGCTATGATCACAATTTTTAAAATAGATTTACTAGTGGTCATTTTTTTTTTTAAAAACTTTTATTCGAACATGTCTGTAACCATTTTCGTGGGCACACCTTGCCCGATTTCATTCAGATATGGCATCAAGGGCAGTACATGGCCTGTGGAAATTTGTCTTATTTTGTTGTATTCATGGATATTTTCACATTCAGTATAGTAACCTGACACAAAAAAGTATATACATGTAACACATGTTTCAGTAACATTCTCATTCATTGTAAGGTGACTGTTGGTCATAATATGATTAGAAGGTCATGACATGAGATATAATTTGTTCATATAAACATACTGATACTTTAACTGTTATGGGATTATTTACAATTCACTATCACTCACAGATTGAAAAGAAGCCATGTGATTTAAACTTTATCTGTAGATAAATATACCATCATAATAGTACAACAGTGCACATCAGGGTCCTTTGAAATCATAAATTTGTGTCAAAAGGAACTATAAATCTGCAAAGGCTTACTGATGTTTAGTGTCACATTTGTGTCTTTGTTATGAAAGTGCAAAAGGAAAAAAATGTACTTTTACAAAGATATATATGCTGAAAATATTAAACAGCCCGGAAAGTCAACTGTGGTGTCAGTGCACGTTTCCCCACAATTGTTAAAATGGTTTTGCAGTCAACTGGTTATATAATAAAACATTGAATCAAATTGTCACCACTGAATTTTTAATTATTTGAAACTTGTTTCATTACGACAAAATTTTGCCATTTCCCCTGACTCACAAACTTGTTAAATTAAAGAAGGTAATAATAGCTGAAAATTATCACTAAATGTGTGCACAAATATCGGTGAATCTGTAACTGGTATGTATTCATTGCTAGTAGGCAAATCTTGACTCTTCTCCAAATGCCAGTGTGCCACATCCATCAAGGCATATATTGATAATCTACTGCAATGTTTTATACTTCTTATTCAACAGTCAGAAGTGAAACAACTTGAAGGAAGTCTGGAACCAAAGAACCAGTCCAACTTATCACCATATTTGGTACCAGACACCAGAGTGCTGACCCACCATCTTAATATTATTAAACAGTTTGCTGCCTGCGCCAGATTTATTATTATTATACCACGAGTTGGTAAGTTGAACGCAGAGTACATAATCAGAGATGAATGAATAACCGACTGATGGGGCCTATATTGTCATATCCCCACCATGGTACAGCCATAACTGACTGATGGGGCCTATATTGTCATATCCTCACCATGGTACAGCCATAACTGACTGATGGGAACTATATTGTCATATCCCCACCATAGTATGGCCATCACGGACTGATGGGCCTATATTGTCATATCCTCACCATGGTACAGCCATAACTGACTGATGGGGCCTATATTGTCATATCCTCACCATGGTACAGCCATAACTGACTAATTGGGCTATATTGTCATATCTTCACCATGGTACAGCCATAACTGACTGATGGGGCCTATATTTTCATATCCTCACCATGGTACAGCCATAACTGACTGATGGGGCCTATATTGTTGTATCCCCACCATGGTACAGTCATAACGGACTGATGGGGCCTATATTGTCATATCCTCACCATGGTACAGCCATAACTGACTGATGGGGCTATATTGTCATATCCCCACCATATTACAGCCATAACTGACTGATGGCCTATATTGTCATATCCCCACTATATTACAGCCATAACTGACTGATGGCCTATATTGTCATATCCCCACCATATTACAGCCATAACTGACTGATGGCCTATATTGTC